GAGAGGGAGGCAACGTCTTGATATACATCATATACTAACAAGGAGTCTGATCAATGAGCAATTATTGATCTGAGCTTAAATTCAGTAGAGTTAAACAATGGTGGTTTGTATTGAATGAGATGACAACAGCACGAAGGAGGTCCTGTGTTATCCCTTCTCATGTGCAAGAATGAAGAATAATAATTCAAATTATGGCTCAATGATGGAGGTAAAACGGGGGTAAAAGAATGGGTTAAGGCAGCACTAAACCAATGTCACTTATCCTGTCATCTAAAAAACTGAAGATTCCTTGACGCCAGTCAATCTTCTAGCCTTTCACTTTTTGCAGCATCCGACCCTTCATCCCGGCATCTTTCAAGGATCATGTTACAGTTGTTCATCGTGGATGCATCGAGAAGACCATGGTTCCAGAGTTTGATCATAAATAACCTCCAACACCTGAGCCCATGTACATTTGACAGTTCAAATAAAAATATCCGAGAAATGAGGCAATCATGCAATTGTGCAAGCCTTTCTAAATCACTGTTTCAATGCATGCACCACAATGTTATTTGGAATTTAATATGCAACACAATGATGTTTAGAAGAACATCATTATTCATAAAGAGTAGCGGTAAGAGGATGATTCGGCTGTTCAGGTGAGGACGCATCCATCAAAAGAAGCTGCAACCAAAAAATCTTCCGAAATTATGCTTTCATTTAACACCAAAAGGATCTTACTTCCATCGATTCCAATTTAATGCAATCTCAAGAAAATTTGTTTCAAAACTTCAATTTCATATCGACCTTGAGTTGATAAGAGATTTGCCACACAGAAATATATTCTACAGAACAGGAATATACATTTTCTGAATCTTCGAAGAAATGTTTATAGTTGATTAAGGCCTAGTCAATGGCATCCATTGGTAGGTCAATAAGATTATCAATAGAAAAGTCAAATCATTGCAAATATGATCGGTATTTAATAGAAAAGATAGTGCTAGAATATTACCAAAAGAGAGCAGGAGAGATGACCAACTGCTGTCCATGAAGTTTTGAAAATGCTTCACATGCCCACGGAACGTGACCATCTGCTAGGACCCTGCCCAAGCAAAAGGCAAGCATTTTCATTATGGCACCAAACACTGAACAAGAATTAAGCAGCCCACAGCAGGTTTTTTCTGATTCCGTTTGACTTCTTAAATTGCAAAGATAAAATGAAGATAAGCAGGAGAGCAGAGAAAAAAGAAGAAATAATGAAATCAAAAGGAATTGATATAACCCATGCACCTTTGCTTTCTCACAAACGAATTCCAGAGATGCATGACTTGCTTCTCATCTTTGCTAACATCGACGAAGTCATCAAGCATCTGCAACAAATTGATGCAATGTTATCTTAAACACAACTAAGAGATGAGTTGAGTATATCTTGTTCTGGATGCAACTAGGAGCTGAAAAGCCAGCTCAAACCAGATAAAATCATGTGAAAATTAAATGCAAATGTTGCTCAATTTTCTATAAAGACGAAGGAACATTAATGGATTGAATCTAGAATAGAAGGTTACCCACCCATCAATTATTGAGTGGCAAATTTTACAATATCAAGATCACATACTGATGGGACTTTATGAAACGTTGGAGAATAACGAAATGGATTGAATCTAGAATAGAAGGTTACTCACCCATCAATTATTGATTGGCAAATTTTACAATATCAAAATCACATACTGATGGGATTTTATGAAACGTTGGAGAATAACAACATGCAGCATGGCATGTAGAAAATTTTAAGCTTTGACCTAATCCCATTAGAAAACATGAGATATATATCACCTCTAGTTTCTGGGGAAAAAAAAAAAAAACCTGCTTATATGAGGTTGTCAGATTTACTTTTATTACCAACTTACTACTATACATTAGCTGAATTAGGAAACATTTAATAACGAGTTCAATATACCATCCTCCCATTGATATATCCATTAAACACTAAAGAACTTCAACCACTGACAATAAGTACATCTCTTCACAATTCTTTTATTAAATTTTCTGTAATCAATTCTAACTAGACCTTTTCTTTTCTCTATTCTTCTAGAAGTTTTTTTCAAAGAAGTTTGAGATATTGACATAAATGAGAAAAAACTAACGTCTTCCAGTCTGCATAGTTGGACTCCCATGAAGTCATGATTTCCTCCTATCTTAACTTTGATTCACTTGATCCCAGCCCCCAGGTCAAACTCACTATGGATATAGCCAAAAGTTTCAAAGGACAAATTTTGAACCAGGCTAAGGTGATTGTGCAAATTCAGAATCACAAAAACTTGTCTGTCATTCATGTTATCTCTGATTACATAGTTAAAGAAACCTCTCTATCAAAAGACCATGCAAAGCATTCCTAATTACCACAAAAGCAAACAAACCAGTTCTTCACATGGCTATTCAAGCATATGAATAAGCCAAAACACCTCTTATTGAAATACAATACACAACAAATTTAAACAAGTCAAATAGAATATGAAACAAAGGAAAAGCAACTTCCACTGTTTTTTTTTTTAAATCAAGATATAGAAAACAAAGCAAAAAAAAAAGTGAAACAAAGGAAAAGCAACTTCCACTGTCAAGATATAGAAATCAAAGCAAAAAAAAAAATGGACATAATCAGCAAGCATACCCTTCTATCTTCAAAATCTGCAATGTCATCATCAACTTCATCTTCACTATCTCTATCTGACATTACTTGTTCTATTGCCATGGGCTTCAAGTTAAAAAAAGGCGATATCATCAGTAATGCGTCATCAAGGGGGAAAGTAACGCAAGTTTAAAATAATGGAAACTAACACCGGCCACTGGAAAAGGTCAATTAGTCCTTAGGGAAACTGCTCACAAAACGGCAAATTATTAACTGCGGATAATAACAAGCATTTAAAGTCCCAAAGAAAAGGAACATAAGAATTAACAGGACAATGAAATTCGATGATGATTGATTGTTTTTGTCACCTTGTCGCTACAAGGTGTTCTACAAAACTCAATCAACATACAGAAGAAGAATCATTTACCACATTTTGGTCAACAGTGACCAAAAAATAAAGCATCTGATGCGCACCGTCATACAAACAATAACCACTATTCCAATATGAAATTTATGAAAATTAGTTCCCTGTTGACAAATGACATTAAAATCTACAATCTCAATTCCTACAGTATTCCTGAAAATGCACATCCAGAATTCATCCCCCCTTAAGATCATCTGGTGTGGATGAAACATAGACCAACAACTGTTTCTGATAAATTACAAGCACTAGTGCCTAAGTTTCATTCGTTTATCAAGTAAAGTTGCACATATATGCCGCTTAGTAATGCGACAATGCAAGCCCTCAAGAAAATTTTATTGAAATTATTATTTCAGTTCACATTCAACTTAAATCATAAGTCTAAATTGTGAAAACCATAACTTCGGGGATTGCCTTGGTGTTATATAGTAAAAAGCATATGCAAATGTTGGAACACAAGAAAAACATGGTTTGACAAGCCAACAGTTAAAGTGATCCATGCAAAATTGAAAGATAAAGGGAAAATGTAACTTGAAAGAAATGCAAAAACACGAAGGAAAAAACATAGAAATTTCAAAGGAAAAAAAACAAAATAATAGGTATTAGCAACTCTTGGGCAATTTTCCTTGCAAAATAGAAACCATTTATCCAATTCAAAAACAAATATTTTGAAGAATCCTCAAGTAAAAATGCATATACACTGGATTCATTAAAGTCCACCGAAAAACATGACGAAAGGAAAACTCATGATGCATTCAAACTCTTAATACAGTGAAAGGAGGGAGGCAGGGAAGAGGAAGATCTAAGATAACATGAAGGGTACTGCTAATGAAGGATCTATTGAGGCAGATTTGGTCCATGATCGAGATGAATGGTGCAAACGGATCAGTATAGACCTTAAGATTATCAAGGAAAATTATCATGGCATGATAGCCGCACAATTTGATGGGATGAAAATAATATGCTATTTATATTCATTAAGTATGACAGGCTTGCTAAAGTCAATTCCATCACAACTGAACTCACTAACAATTAACAGATCAGACAAATGAAGCAGAAGACAGTTCAAGGTAATGGTTTCAGTAATAATTAATCACCTGAACTCTATGTGAGTGATAGAATTGTCGTTTCTGCAGAAGTGCACGGCTGGAAGAAAGAAAATTTCAGAAGAGATTGGATTAGAATTCCCAAGAATGACAAAATTAAGGACTCAAAATTTTTGGCAAGCAGTTTTCTCTTCATGTGATGCTGCGTTATCCCATATCAAGCTTCTAATATGCACAAAGATTAAAGGCTGCACTTTAAAAAGGCCATAAAGGTTGAAGCCACCATAATAACAAGACAAAGGACAAAACGAGATGGTGTGATGCTATGATAATTATATGATATGCACAGCTGAATTACACATGGTTAGAAGAAGCATTGCACCTCCTTTATAAAAAATCCTATCTGCTTGGTTAAAACACATGTACAGAAATAAGCACATAGCAAACACATGCCTATTCTACCTTTGAAAGTGAAGTAAGGGCCTTCCAAAAACAACACAATGTGAATTTGAAAAGGAAAAGGATAAAAAAAAGGACAAAAGTGAAGTAAGGGCCTTCCAAAAACAAAACAATGTGAATTTGAAAAGGAGAAGGCATTGAATACAGTTGAAAACAGGGTAGAAAGGAAAAGCCAAGAGAACATACTATTTAGGGTCTGACCGTTCCACAGTTAGCTTCCTTGCTTTTGCAACATGGAGTGCAGCAGGAAGTGAAGGTTCACTTCCAGATTGTGATTTAACACATTCAGGATCCACGGAAGATTGAGCCTGGGCAATTGAAACACCAGGGATACTAAAACTGGATGCAACTCGCTCCATTAACTCTGTAACGGTAGGACACTCAGAACCATAGTTTTCTGCTCCATCTCTCATGTTGAGCAAATCTTTCTCACTAGAAGATGACTTGGAAGCATTCTCACCTATACAAGATACATCTAAATGATGAATATAAACAGCAACACTCATAAAGAAATTACAAAAGCAGAAGAACCAAAATAATGGAAATTGATTATTTATCAGTTTATCTGACGAATTAAAATGTGTATATATAACAAGGCCAGCCACAGCGGTACATCCCATCTACAGGATTAAGAAACTACACAAAAGAACTTCAACCTACAGTTGGTAGAAGATTGGAAAAAAAAAAAAAAGGGAAATCATCCTCTAACTTCAACCTACAGTTGGTAGAAGATTGGAAACAAAAAAAAAAAAAACAAGGAAACCATCCTCTAAGTCAAGGATTGTTCTGTGTGCCAATTATGTATGATGCCAATCCAAATATCCTTCAACAAAGTAAGCAAGGATCCTTCTCCCTCAAATGCTCTTCTATGATTTCTTTTTTTCCCCTTCATATGGTCTCTCTAAAAGAATAAAATTTATATATTGGTACTGTGGAAAATGTCCAATTTATTAGAAAAGTAGATGGAGGAACCAGGCAAATCACCAGAGTAGAAGTGAAAACCACTAGTGTGATTTTCAGGTCAATCATTACTTAAATGTGATCATAAATGCCTCCAAGGAAGTTGGCATATGAAACTATTAATATACTTACAGTTGAACCTGAGAAACAGAAACTATTAATATACTCACAGTTGAACCTGATAAACATTCTCAATAGTTAAGAAATTTCATCATTAAAATACTTTTAAAGTAAATGTATATGCAGCAGGAAAGAAACTGTACCCTCTTCCTTCCCCAAAAATCCATTGTTCGTGCCTTCTGATGAACTCAACTCCAAGAACTTTATGGAAACTTTCTTCACATTTTGGTCAAGGATTTTTGACTTGCGTGTTCGTGGCTTTGAGCTGTATATACAATTTATTTCATGATTTCAGTTCTCAATACTTTTACTGCAGAAAAGATAAAAATTAACAGAACTATAATCTTTATGTAGATATGTAAAGACCACCAGAAAAAAAATGTCTGCTGTCGCTGCTCTATTCCATCTGCAACAGTCTGTACACGTTGATGGGATGCAAATAGTTAGATAAGAACTTATTCTGGTTCTTTTACCAAAAGGTGTGGCTACTTATTATATAATAATGCCTTTTGCATTAAGTTTCCAGAAAGCAAAAACAGTTACAAGCTAAAAATGGACCCTCAAAGGATAAAAATTCTCATTCTCTTCGCTAATTTGCAAAGAAATTCAATTTGATTGGACCCTGATAAGATATTTTTTGTTAAAATTCCAAGAAAATTAAAATCAACCAGGTGCATAGTTCACTTTGAGTTCTTTATTGTGTAACGTGCAATATTTTCTGACTAAGAGTAAAAAGGATGAATCTTCCAAAGTATATCCAAGACAAACTAATTTTCTGACCTCTGATATAAATCTATCAATATTCACAGAGACAGTCACTGCTTGATACTCTTCAGTCACCTGCACAATAATGTTAATTTGCTAGTGCTTTTACAAGAATTCATGAAAGAAAATAGAATGAATTCTAATTACCAACCCAAAAATCGAAGTTGAATAGGTCATGAGAAGAGCACAAGTGATACCGCAGGCCCTAGAAACAGAGGAGTAAATTTTGATTTTTGAGTATCCAGGTGAACAGAATCTTGTAACTACATTGAGGTTATAGCATGTCTATGAATATGTGAGCTGAAAAGGGGAAGTAGTAAGAAAAGAACCAGGGACATCACCTTTGAGTGAATGAATTGTAGATTATTTGGTGCGAGAACCAACAATTTACATAAGCCATAAATTCTAGTAATATGTAATCCAATTTTTCATTGTTTAGATGAGAAAAGTTGCAATATTCATGATAATGGTAGTGATTGTGATGGTGGTAAGAGTAGTTATGATGATAGCACTAATGATGATTATGGTGGTAGTACTTGTGATAATAATAATATTGGTGGTGGTGATAGAACGATGGTTATTATGATATTATTGGTCATGGTTGCAATAGTGATGAAATGATGGTTATTTTAATAACAAGGTGGTGGTGGTGGTGGTGGTGGTGGTGAAAAACTGTGGTGAGATCATGGTAAAATGATGGCAGTATGGATAATGAGATGGTGAACATGGTTGTGGGTGATGGTGGTGAGGTGGTAGTTGATTATGGTGGGATGATGATAAAAAGGTGGTTATATTAGTAATAAGATGGTAGTTGTGGTAGTGACTGACAGTTGATGGGGTGGTGGTGGGCGAGGGTGGGGTGGGGTGGGGCTTAGGGTGGTGGTGAATATTATGAGTTGTTGGTACTGAGGCTAAAATATTTTCCTCTAAATTGTCACTGTTTAGGGGTTGATTGAAAAATATTTTTCATTTTTTTTCTGTATTTGTTTCACACTGAAAAGTGAAAGAAAACATTTTTCTAAAAAATATTTTCCACAAAACAAACAAAATCTTTGGATTCTTTTATTTATTTCCTCACCAAACTGTATATTTTAAAATATCTATTTGCACTTCAAACTTATGGATAGAAGAGCAGAAAAAGGCAAAATCAGAAAAAGGTGAGCATGTATCTAAGATAGAGCATCCACCTTAAAGCTTAAACATTGCATCAAGCAAAATGGACAGGAGAAGTCCTCAGTTGCTGCAGGTTGAGAAAGCACAAAGAAAAAAATTGGTTAGCAGCTCAATTAAAACAATGCTCATAATATGATAGAGCTGCAAAAGGTCACATTCTGCCTTTTATTAAACAACAGTGTGTAGTGCAAACTATAAGAGGTAACTTCGTTTTGAAGAGCTGGAGGAAAGTTTTGAATAAACTGTCAACAATTATATTTGCATGTACACCAAGGAAAAGTCTGATTTTTGTAAAATAAATTAATGGCTTGATCCAAATTATTTACCAGCACTGCTCTCTCAAAGGAGAAACGCCAAGATTCATACATCACCTCCCATGCAAGCAGTCAACAGAGTTTCAATTAAATAAGCAGACCTTCATTCCAACTAATAGTTACCTTATTTCAGAAGCCAAGTCTTAACTGTCTAAGGCGTTAAGATCTCAGCAGAGTGTAACTGATATGCAAAAACAAAATCATTAAAGCCTCCACCTTCACAAATGATAAGAGCAAGGGAGAAAAGTGATTTGAGAGGCTCAGAGTAGAAATACTCAGAACAGATCATGATAAGATTGCATCATTACCAGTATATTTTATATAAATAGTGGTTCCAGAATCATAACCAATAGGCTTCTAAGCAGATGGTGAAATAATTAAACATTTTCTCATTGAGTAACCAAAGCATTCTAATTAGTGATTGTACCCCTTGATAACCTGATTTCACAATGACACTTAATTTTTCTATTGCATTTTTGAAAGAAAGGTAAATTAACCAACATAATGAATATCCTTGACAAATTGAAAGTATTTGTTCTGAAGAACCAGAAAGAATGATGGTCATCTTTTGATTGTTAAAAGCATATAGAACGGTGAATATTGATATTTTCTCTTAACAGATGGAACCATGCAGTACGGTCCTAAACGTTCACAGAAGCAATTATTCAGTCCAGACAGCAATATACGCCAGCCCAAAGCTGCACATATCAAATTTCATAGCATTCAACGTGAAGTTACCAGGCCCACTTGATAAATAAGAAGTTTGAAATAATTACACAATTCATATCGCATAATTTCAATGTAACTAATCTCATTTTAACATATTGTTTTCAGCAGCTAATGATCTGGCAAGGGAATTTACCACATGCTAACCAACAAGAAAATGAGAGCACTTAATGGACAAACAACAATTTTACTTTAGAAAATCATGGTGGGACAAATTTAGTCAGTAGAACATGAATCTTAAAAGTTTACCAGCAATCCACAAAAAAATAAAACAAACACAGAGAAAACAAGTAACACGCAAGGACAAAATCTTAAAAGCATTACGCAGAAGAGTCGGAATAACCTTCAGTCTTTCGTAGCATGTTCTTGTAGTCCTTGTAGTTGAAAATTACAATTCCATCTCTTAACCTAGAAAAGCATATGCAGCCACATATATTAAGCAGATGAAGTTATAATTGCCAGTTCCTTGCAATGAAACTTATAAAGGTTGAAACGCATACCTCTTTTTACGCCTTTCTTTTATTTTGTAACGCAAACATCTTCGAAGAAATGAAGGCTGCAGCAGATAAAGCATGTAGTTATAAAGTAGAAACATCGCATGAATGTCTAAGAAAGAAGCCCTGGAAATTAAGCACAAACACATAACACATAAACATGAAAAGGGCATCAAATATCTTGTGCTGAATAAATCCAGGATAACAATGCAATCCAATTGATATAGCATAAAAAAACCTGTTGATTTCTTGCATTTTAACAGATTTAAAGAAGAGTTTGATGATGATACACTAATTAAGCTAAATGAGTCGCATACCTAACCATCGTAATGAACATATTTTATCAAATAAAGGTGATCACAGTGTGACTATTTTCCATCACTAGAGTCCACCATACAAAAGAGAAGGAATAATGTGAAGAACATCAAGAACGGAGTCAGAGCAATAAGGTAGATAACACGTTATGCATCCCAATACCGTTGAAGACAAATTGCACAAAAACCACAATCAGACTGACTATATTTTGCGCTAGCAAGTTCCAGGAAGTGAAAAGGTAACAAGGTCATACGATGATTTAATTAAAAAAAAGCATCATTTAAAAAAAAATGACTAAAGATAGAGATTCTTAGATTAAATAGAATAAGAAGTAAGAAAAGGGGGGATTGATTACGTTGTCTTGAGCACGGCGGCGAAGGATATTGTAAAGCTCAACAGGCTTGCAGTAAATAAGTAGACTCTCATCAGCTGCAATTGCCTCTTCTACGGACAAATGCTCCACGCCACAATTCTGATGGCACATTTTCTCCGTTACAAATTCCTGTTTCATACCAGTTAAATAATTAAAAAAAAACTGCATACGATCAAAAACAACAGCTTGAAGCATCATCGATAACCTAGCTCAGCTTGATTCGCGATAGAAATCCCTAATCAGAACAAATCTAGGATAGTCCACGGACCAAATTTGAATTTTAAAGCACCCTAACGGCAGTAAATTAATGTAAAGTACAAGGAGACAAGAAGATAGGTGAAAAAAAAATTGAAATTGGTAGTTGGAATTTTTTGCAGGAAAATCACCGAATTCAAATTTGGATTCTTGGTAGAACAGTAGAAAGTGAGGAGGAAGAGGTCAAAGGGAGGAGGAAAATGGTCGTCGGGTTAATACCTAACTAAACTAATTAGATTAGATTAGACGTCCATCAATTGGCCTCTTTTTTCGCCCGTTTTAGAATTTAGCTCTGAATTCTAAGTTCACGTTCTCCCTTATCTGTTTCCGATTTCCAATCTTTTACAGGTTAATTTTATTTACTTTACCTTACCTGAATTTATTATGGTGGTTACTTTTTTCATTTCTTGCCCACTGGACTGCCCTTAGTCATGACGCATGGGCCTCTGAAGAAGGCTGCATGATCCACTCTAGTAACTTGGTATGGACCATGACCTGTTATTGGACTTCTTCGGCTCTTTAAAACAATCAAGATTTTGAAGCCTAAGTTTGAGCCAGAGACAGTAACCTATTTTCCCCCCTTCCCCCGCATTTTGTTGACAAATTTAACTTGCTAGAAATTAAAATAAAAATAAAAATAAAAAACCTAAATCCCCAAGTTACTGTGCATCAAATCACAAATTATTATTTATTATAATGGTGAAATTAT